GGGGTTTGCACCAGCGTGGGGTGTTGGTCTCAGGGTTTTAAATCACGGAGCTGCCAGGCCCGTGTGATGCCGTCATACGCAGCCAGCCAGTGTCTTACCGGGCACAAGCGCTTGCCAAGGGGCGTGGTGCCGGAAAGCGTGGCGTGCAGGGCTGGCTCCGGGCCGGGAGGGGGGATGCTGCACTGCTCTGCGTGACTGGCTGTCCTGGGCACGTCCCCTGCCAGCCCTGTGCTGGACCCTCCCCCCAAATTCACAGCAACCTGCCTGTCTCTAGGGCTGCAGCCAGAGAGTGCGAGCCCCACGGGATCTGTTCCCGCTGCCCCTCCTGCCAGCCAGGCGGGATCCCAAGCAAGCCCCCAAGGGGCTGGGGGATACTAAAAGGCTAGGCCTCAGTGGGGTGTCTGCCTCGCGTTTCCTGGTAGGTCAGCATCTAGCCATCCTGGCCATTGGCTGGGCAGCCACCTAAGCCAACAGCCCCCAGCCCTGCCGCTCGCCCCCTCCCTGGGCTTGGGGGCTGGCTGAGGAGCCTAGACACAGCAGGCTACGGGCTTGTCCCCATGTGCAGCGCTGCCGCGGCTGTAGCACTGAGCTACGGGTCAGCCTAGGTGCCCCACCGCCGCGACAGGCGGTAGCGGTGTCGATGGGAGACGCCCGCCCGTCGGCGCTGTCCACACGGGCAGCGAGTGCATCGCTTGGGCGTGGATTGTCTGCACCCCATAGCTACGCCGCCCTGTCTCTAGCGGTGCATACAGAGGGGAATCCAGGACACAGCAGGGCAAGGAGGTAGATTTCAGGACCGCCCAGCTTGGGGCGGTGAGATACCCAGAGCCCCAGGTGCCATGGGAGGGTGGACAGGCGCTTGGGAGCCCAGAGACATGGTGATGAGGGTGCGACAGCCTAGAACCCCCAGTAACATGGCTGCACAGGGAGCGAGCACGTCTGCATTGGCGGTTACAGCGGCTGTAGCGGAAGCAGCTACGCACAGAGCGCTCGAGCGGGGGATGGGGGTGGGCACTGTGGGGTGCTCTGCAGCTGAGCATGGAGAATTCCCAGCTCCTGTTCAGGGTGGGAGGTAGCTCAGGACGCCTGTCTGGAGTGAGTCCCACCCTGGCCAGGCATCCTGCTGCTGGAAGGCCCCCAGGCTGCCCCCACCCCCACCCCCCTACAATCCTGGCCCTTAATTCAGAGCCAGCATGGGGGCCGGAAAGTCAAGTGGGGGCTGCTGGGTGCAGGGGACAACAGGTCGAGCATTGGCTGCAGCAGGGCTGCCTGGCTCCTCTGTGTGACGAACTGGG